TCAAATAAAAGCAAAAGGCGCCCTACGTCATCACTTTACTTATTTATTTAATTTTACTTATTTAAAAATAATTCTTTATCAAAGGCCCTGTTAAAGTAATAATTTTATTGGAAAGCGATATGCAGCATCAAAATAATGTTCAAGTAATAACTTTATTAGAAAGCGATATGCAGCATCTGCCGACTTTATTGAAAAAACTAAAAAACGAGCTCCCCACAAAATGCTGGTATAGCCTATTTATACTACTGCCCTAGCTTAGGATAACAGTAAGATCGTATGATCTGAGAAAAGTTAAAAATACAACTATGAATATCTGCAATGTTATACAAACATATGTGCATACATGCAGGTATAGTCTTAGTACAAAAGAAAAAGGAAAGGCAAGCATACAATATAAGAACTACTGCAGGTACATATGCATATACATGTGCATGTACGTACATATGTACATTTTATAAGCGAAAAGCCACAGTAGTGGCTAGAGTTATTATTACAATGTAAATATTTAAGAATAATTACGCTATCAAATGAAATATTTATTGGGATGGCAGGTCTTGCTGGAACATTCCCGGCCCCAAGGACGATAGTTCTTCAATCAGTTCACAAGTTCAGGTACATACTAGTCGGCAAGGCCGTTGGAGGTAATTGTTTTATCGCCCGGTTGAATGGCTACGCCTCGACCCGCAGCCTCAGTGCCTGTTCCGAAAGTATCTGCTGTCTTTGAAATAGATGCTGAGTTGTGGGGTTCCATCGAAGGTAGTTAGCAAATTTTCCGTATTGGACGTTTGAAGTACTTGTCGTTGCATTTAAGAGTAACTACGCGTACTAAACCATCTTGACCTGGATGAACATCTGCACGGTATATAACTTTTCTTGTGCAAACTTATATTACAGGTATATCACCGTGGTCAAAGCTCAGATCTTCAAAAAGTTAAAAACCTTATATCAATAGTGTTATTGAGATTTGCACCACGATTTGTTTATTAGGAAAAAATGGAAAATTTTAAGCGCTAGAAATTATAGCAGCTATTCCGGAGATCACCGCATCTCCTCATCAGACTTCTTTTTTCTAGGCACCAGCAGGGATCGAACCCGCATCATCGATGTGCAAAGTCAGGATCGCTANCATCTCCTCATCAGACTTCTTTTTTCTAGGCACCAGCAGGGATCGAACCCGCATCATCGATGTGCAAAGTCAGGATCGCTAACCTCTGAGCTTTGCACACCCCGTAAGCTCTTTTTTCATTCAAAGTAGGTTTGAAATTTTTATTTTTTTTTCGGAAAAATTGCGGAACACCGTCAACTAAAAAAAATTGCCAAAAATCAACGGTAAGTCCTAGATACTTCAAATTCGTACTTCATTATACTAAAATTTAACGGGGTACAAAAATGCATACCAAATTTTGCCTAAATATGCTGATCAGCGAATTCGAAATTTTAGTCAAACTTTACAGAATTTTCATAATTTTTGCACAAAGTCTGAACTAAAGAATAATGGCCTTATTCATAAAAAATAAGGTAGGTGAAAAAGCTTTATAAAATGACGTTTTCATACATTTTTCAGTTTATAAACCTTTTTTAAAGCTACTTTATTTTTTATGAATAAGGCCATAAAATTATAGATTAAAAAACTAAAAACTCGCTACTTGACTTGAGAATGGAAATCGCTGCATCTTTTAGGCACATGATTACTACATATTTACATCCCAAGCTAATATAAGCCAGGTAAAAATAGCCAAAACTTACCAAACTGCCGCGTCCCAGTTTTTATTTGGTTCATTGTATGCATAAAATTAAAGGAAATTTTCTGTTTTTGTTTAAAATATTTTTTTGTTTAAAATATTTTTTTATAAAAAATTGGTATTTGTTCTTAAACATTTTTTGGCGCCCGAGCAGGGACGTCTAAGTGAAAATCAAAGAATTTACTAGTATACGCGAGTGACACCTAAAACAAAACAAAAAAATTAACTAACTAAACTTTTAAACAAATAACTATGGCGGAGACTGAAGCTTTGAACGAGGTGGACATGCTGGTCGCTGAGCAACACGATATTAATCAGGAATTGGAAAAACTTAAGGCGAAAGTGGATAAACTTAGTCTGGAACAGCTAACAAAGGGATATGTTATGGTATTAATGGAAAGGATGGAGGGTATGTACTCCAAGTTTTGTATTAACAATGCGAAAATTAATAAATGCATAAAGGAAAATGCATTAAGGTGCACTGAAATCACCTACTGTGAAGAAGATCATTGTTCTTTGTTTGAGGACAAATACCTACTTTTTAAAGCCTTTCTGTATGATTCTGTACCAAGTAGTAACGTGTCGCCAAGCTTATTTCAAAGCACACTCGTCAGTCCTCAAATGCAAGATATTAATGTTACGACCTTAGGCGATGTTAAGTTACCCAAAATTTCGCTGCCAACATTTTCTGGGCAATATTTAGAATGGGTTCCCTTTCGCGACTTATTTTTGTCACTCGTACACCGTAGTACATTATACAGCAAAGCACAAAAAATGTACTATCTTAAAAATTCAGTCAAAGGTGAGGCAGAGCGTTTAATAAAACACATTTCTTCAAGTGAAGCTAATTACGACCTCGCTTGGAAGACTTTAGAAGATAGGTATCATAACAAGCGTGCTACAGTAGATACTATTCTGCGGAAGCTCTACGCTATTCCTAAGTGTACAAAAGCATCGCCTGCTGCGATCAGAGGAATTCTCGGCACAACGAAGGAATGCATTGCTTCTTTAATAAATTTAGATGTTCCAACTACTAACTGGGATCCGTTAATTATACATATAACGGCAGAAAAATTAGATTCCGAAACTAGGAAGGATTGGGAACATACACTCAAAGCCACAAGAGAGATTCCTAAACTATCCGAACTCTATAATTTTCTAGAAACCACTTTCCGGACTTTAGAAACTATTGGCGACTCCGCCACAGTCAAACCGAAATCACCAAGCATTAGTCAACGTTCGAGCGTAAAGGCTTTTAACATCAACAAAGCCATTTTATGCCCTTGTTGCAAAAAATCACACCTTCTCTTTAAATGCTGGGTGTTTCGTGCATATTCTATTAAAGAACGCGAGGAGTTTGTTGAGCGCAATTCCATTTGCATAAATTGCTTGACCGAAGGTCACATATAGAAAAACTGTAAATCGCAACATACTTGTCACCTGTGCAAACCAAAACACCATACTCTGCTTCATGGTGCATTATCTAACCAAAAACCTAACATCATACAGCCAACGGAGAAAAACGCCATTACTAATCATCACGTGTCAGCACCCCGGCCACAAACTACTACAAATATTCTTCTCGCCACTGTACTGCTGTACATTAATACACCAAATGGTAAGGTGACAGCGAGAGCATTACTCGATCCAGGCTCGCAGGGCTCTTTTATTACTGAGCGATTGATACAGCTTAACGGAATAAACTGCCGCCCAACACGTCTTCAAATCCATGGAGTTAACCCAACACAAAGTAGCTGTGCAAAAAAATTAACATATTTGCAATTGGATTCTCGAAGCGAGCCAAACTTTTCTATCAATATAGAAGCTTTCGTATTGCCAAGTTTATCAACTTGCTTGCCGCAATGCTATATTACTCCACAGCAATTACCATTCAGCACGCCTTTCGATCTAGCTGATCCACAATACTACAAATCACGACCAATTGATTTAATACTGGGTGCTGGTATATGGCTTGATTTTAAAACAGGGTCAATATAAAACAAGCTTCGGGTTGCTATTTCAAGACACGCATTTCGGCTGGGTACTCTCTGGCCCAACGCCTAGTTCTAATAAAGTTACAGCAATTAGCACCAATTTTTGTCACATCGACGATCAACTTAAGCTTTTCTGGGAACAAGAAAATGTAAGCAAAAAAGCTATTCTGTCCCCTGAAGAACTTGCATGTGAAAACTACTTTTCTTCTACGTACCAAAGAGGTACTGATGGCCGCTACTGTGTTTCGCTGCCTTTTAAAGCAGAACTAAATGGCAAGCCTCTACCATAATTCGAAAATACTCATCTCGGAGCGATGGCAAGGCTGCGAAATATGGAACGAGCCTTTCTACAAAAGCCCGAATTTTATAAAGAGTACTGCAAATTCATGGATGAATACCTAGAACTCGGCCATATGCGTGAAGTTGGAGAATATCCAAATAACATTGAACACAATTCGTATTTTTTGCCACATCACGGCGTTGAAAAGCTGAGTAGCACAACAACAAAACTACGAGTTGTATTCGATGGCTCATCCAAGTATCGTAATCATCGTTCGCTTAATGAGGAATTGGCTGCAGGGCCTGCACTACAATGCGATTTAGTACAAATTATTTTACGTTGGCGCAAACATAACATTGCCCTGTGTTCTGACATAGAAAAAATGTTCAGGCAAATCGCTGTTAACCCGATACATCAAAAGTACCAACAAATTCTGTGGAGGAAATCAGCAGTTGATCCAGTTAAAATCTACAAGCTTTTAACGGTAACTTATGGTACTACACCTGCTCCCTTTTTATCGGTTAGAACACTAAAGCAACTTGCTACAGACGAGGCAAAAACTTATCCTGACGCGTCGGAGGTACTTCTTCGTGATATTTACGTTGACGATGTGATCACTGGGGCTGATGATGTAGTTGAAGGCTTATATTTGCAAGATCAGCTTCGTAAATTATTAGACTTAAGCTTCGGAAATGGGCGTCAAACTCTACCGAACTACTGAAATCAATTCCAACTGAACTACGAGAATGCTCAAATTCAATCGAACTTAACAGTGATCATTATATAAAGGCACTGGGATTACAATGGCAACCACTGTCTGATTCTTTTTCATTTTCAGTTACCTTTGATGCGAATACGAAACTAACCAAACGAAACTTACTTTCGGATGCATCCAAGCTGTTTGATCCACAAGGATGGCTGGCGCCTACAACTATAATTGCCAAAATCTTATTTCAAAAACTGTGGCTTGGAGGTATAGATTGGGATGACCAACTGCCAGACTGCATTTCTGAAGAGTGGATTAGATATCGAAATACGCTAAAATGTCTAGAAGAAATTAAAATAGACAGGTTCATTGGGACTTCCAAGAATAGAAAATGCGATCTACATGGTTTTTGTGATGCGTCACAAGTGGGTTTCGCTGCTGTCGTATATTCAAGGACTGTGACTGAAAACGGAGAAATAGTAATACGAATTCTACAGGGAAAAACAAAAGTCGCACCATTGAAAACGATATCAATCCCGAAACTTGAGCTGTGTGGTGCCCAACTGCTTTCAAAATTAATGTCCAACGTAATCGAGGCTTTGCATGGATGTGTACAGCAAGTATTTTATTGGAGTGATAGCACGACTGTATTGACTTGGATAAGAGCACAACCTTCCAAGTGGAACGTATATGTGGCGAACCGTGTAGCGGAGATCCAACATTGGTCTACAATAAGCCAATGGCGTTATGTACCCACACATGATAATCCGGCAGACTGTGCGTCGAAAGGTGTAATGCCGCGTGATTTACCCAATCATACGCTTTGGTGGAACGGACAAGCTTGGCTAAGTAATTCTCATGACCATTGGCCAGCAGACATTAATGCCAACTTAAGTTGGCACAATGTTGGAGCAGCGCGGGCCAGCCAAAGTTGCTTATGTTAACACCTTGTCTTATCCAGAGCTCTTATGCAAATATTCAAGTTTGAAAAGAACACTGTGCGTTACCGCGTATATACTACGCTTCACTTACAACTGCACTAGTAAGGACAGCCGCTGCATTGGTCACTTGACCAAACTCGAGCTGCAATTGGCATTGAAACGGCTGATTTTCCTATCTCAAAACATCGACTTTAATTACGAAATAAGGCAACTTTCGTCCGGACTACCACTTAAAATAAATTCAATTGGAAAGCTGTGTCCATTTCTGGATGATGAAGGATGCCTACGCGTTGGCGGCCGGCTGCACTTCTCACATTTACCATTAACTATGAAACATCCTATTTTATTATCAAAAAGAAATCCACTAACATATCTTATATTTTCAGAAGCACATATCATTACACTACATGGCGGCGTTCAGCTCATGCTCAACTACGTGCGCAGAAAATATTGGGTGTCGAACGCGCGTCATCTTGCTCAAGTCATCATAAAACGTTGCTTGACTTGCTACAAGTACACTACCAAAACAGCAGAACAGTTGATGGGCAATCTTCCGCCGGTGAGACTTATACCCGCGCGACCCTTTTTGCATAGTGGCGTCGATTACGCTGGTCCTATTGATATACGCCAATCATCACTAAGGAACGCAAAAGTATCGAAGGGTTACATATGCATATTTGTTTGCATGGTAACTAAAGCCATACATTTGGAGGCAGTATCCAGTCTCACCACCGACGCCTTTGTGGCCGCCTTTCGCCGATTTACTTCTAGAAGAGGAAAATGTACGCAGATATATTCGGACCGCGGCACAAACTTTGTTGACGCGAGCAATGCATTGCAAGTTATGCAACAAAGCAACTTGTCATCGTTACCACAAGACCTCAAGGCAATTCTAGCTAGCGAAGGCATAACATGGAACTTCATCCCTCCTGCTTCACCACATTTCGGAGGATTGTGGGAGGCGGGGGTAAAGTCAACTATATACCATTTTAAGCGAATAATACAGGACCGCGCCTTAAACTTTGAGGAGCTGTGCACATTGCTGTATCAGATTGAGGCGTGCCTAAATTCAAGGCCCTTGTGCCCTCTAAACGAAGATGTCGAAAGCTGGATGCTTTAACACCAGCTCATTTTTTAATTGGCGAGCCAACCATCAATATTCCTGACGAAGCGCTGCTTGAATTCACAACTAGAGGAGTAAGTCGTTGGCGTATGGTGGAACAATACAAGCAACACTTTTGGCGACGTTGGTATGCTGAGTATCTTAGTAGACTACAGAGCCGTCCCAAGTGGACAACAGTACGCGCTAATATTAAAATAGGCGATCTTGTACTATTATACGATGAAAAAACTCCGCCTGGCAAGTGGCCTTTGGCACGTATTGCAGATGTTCATCCAGGTCAAGATGGTTTAGTACGCGTAGTTACTCTTAAATGCAACGACAAGTACTTCAAACGTCCAATACGGAAAA